ACATGTTTGCGTTAACCTAAAAAATGCCAAACAGAAGGGTCTTCAACTTCTCAGCCAAAATTACTGTTCACTCTCATAAAGATCCAAGTTTGAAAGATAAGGAGATGGTCGAAGATCCACTGCTTAGAACCTTAATATATACCTCTTTCCGTTCACCTACCCAGCATTTTCCAAAACAGTGCAGCCTGTGATCTCTAACCTTCTTTGTGACCACTATTCTTATTACTATACTCCTTTTCAATGAATTTTTAAATATTTGGTTCTGTTAATCAATAAGCGTTCCCCGTAAATAACGCTTTTTGGGCAAAATACATGGTAGTACTAATTTTTTGAATAAGTCCTAACATTTTTGAGAGTTTTACACGAACGATGTCGTATGAAATGGCTAAATTTTCTCATTTTTAGCTTTTGTTATTTATTTCTGAGCATCAGACACATTCAAAAATAATCTTGATCTCATCTTTGAAATTTTACTCAGTACGAATTTTTTGATAGTATTTGGTGTATAGATAAGTCTCTTTTCACTTTTGAAACCGTATAACTGGTTGTGTTACCATAGTAAACACTATATGCAGGTAACTCGCATAGTGGTTTGCATACCAGTGAGTGTTGTATGTAAGATTTTAAAGAAAATTTCACTGAACAGTGTCTGAGGTACTGTTTTTGAACAAATCATGGAGTTCGGTCTACCAACTATTGACCATTAGAGCTCCTTAGTGAGTTCAAAATCCATTACACTTGGAGTGTTTGGAATGAAGGAGAATATTTTTGTCTGAGATAGATGTTTTTGGGTTTTCGATGTGTACAAGCATGGGTTAGCACTTCAGTCTACAAAAACTTTACTCAGTGGCTCAATTGATTTCATTAATTCTTCACTGTATTGACAGTAGCTATAATCTGCTTAATAAGTACTTGATAAAGTGGTGCATTGCAGACTACACCTCAATGAGATTATCACAGTGAACTGACAAGGGAAACTTATGTGGTGACTAGTTATCAAACTTAAAGTCACTAAACAAACGGTAAATTCATGAAATTATGTACTTGACATCTACTGAACGTCAATTATTCACCATCTGTCATATAGCAAACAAAATTTGAGGAGTTTGACTGTTACAAATGACATTTTGAAGCATGTTTTTAGGTGTCATATCACTTTCCAACTGTCACTGCAAGTATTACATGTAATCGATGGAATAAACAAACTGACAGCATCTTACTTGACTGCAAAAGCAATTGCGTTGTTCATAAATAATTTATTTTATACGACCAATAATTTAAACTGCATATTTGTTCTGAGTGTGTGTACAAGAAAGATCTTGCAGACGCTAAGACATATTTTGTAAACCAAATAATAAACATTATGACTCTTGGAGGTTAAAGTGAGCATGCTGACATATATTTATATTGAAGATGTTAACCGATCTAGAAATGCCTTATCTGCCAATGGCGAACTACTTAATGGAAAAGTATTTAACTAGAAATATCTTTTGTCCTATCTGAGGAATGATTTTTGCCAGAAAACCATATTCAAACAACAAGTTTCGCTGCTAGTTGGAACTTAGTATTTACTGCATACGGCAATTTCTATCACGGAGAGCATGACGTAAGCTCCTAACTTCTTAGGACTATTTAAGACTAGAACGCGGTTGCTGATTGGAATCCTGCCTCGAACCGGTCTTTTATTTCCCTTCATTCATCACATAGTATCAACAATCATTTAAGCGTATGCTTCAACAAAACTATTGATGACGCCTGTTGTTTTATAAAAAGAAGATACAAGAGGAAGACAGTAAGCTTGGTTTGGAGAAGCGGACAAGGTATTTCCAGCACACATGATAAGACATGATTATTGCATCGATCTTAAAGTTAATACTTCATCCTTTAGTGAAGTGGCTTGTTTTATTTGTGCAGCAGTTATAGTAATTCAATAATGATTTGTAGGAAGTGTCTTCAGCGACTTGTTAAGGCCACTGATTTAATTATTAAATGAAGTCCATTTACATATGACAACTCACCTAATGTAGTGATTATATGGTTTTTGCGCCAAGCTTTCGAGCGATAGAGGTTTGAATTTGCTTACCATCTTTCAGAGAGAGACATTTACTTTCAGCTTGTGGTTTGGCTTACTTTAAACTGCCGCTTTAATTTTGTCGAATCAAACAATCATTCATGAAGTATTTAGTACTATCCTAGTTGCTATAAGAATTTTATTCCGAATATGGTCATAGCCGAATGTGATTTTCAGCTTTAAGGAAACACCACAGCTTAGAATTTTGCCATTTTGCAGGGTAGGCTGCTGTGATACACGCAACAATTGAATGATGTTAATTTTTTGTATCAGAAAACCAGTGCAGCCAAAGATTTCAATGGACTGCTACTGCCCTGAGTTCAGAAATTGACTCGGATAGTCAAGAAAGTGACGCTGATGTTTATTTTGCATTTCTTGAAATACATCCTAACAAAAATGTTACTCACTTCTCAATTTCTCAGATACACTGAGCTAGCTGAAGTTATATTTTTCATTACCTCACTTAATTATTAAGAATATGAGATCTTTCCTACTCTGAATACCTGTGTCACTTGCGGAAGATGGATATGCTATAATTCCCATACTGATACTTTAGAATAACCAAATGAAGAGAAGATATTTGGGAAAAAGCTTCATTGCTTCACTAAATGTCAAGACACAGTATTCGATACAAAGCCTCAGTAAATTTAACGATACTGTCCAATACTAATTCATACTCAATCATTAGTCAGTTGGATAGAGAGGTTAGTTTACTACTTTCAATTCATCCGATGCACGAATCCTCATTTCAGATCAATCACACAACATCGACTTCATTTTTCTGATGCTACGAGTCAACTGTTCTGTAGATAAGTGATGACTCTACTTTCTTGGTCTGCATGAATTCAGTCATTCATTTTTCTGGGCATAATTTCCGTAAAATATGTTACTTTCGTAACAATTTGCAGATCTATCGGGATTTCAAAATGTAAATAAGTATCAATATGCATAGAAAAATATACATGTGTACATATATGTATTCAAAGGCGTGAAATGTAGATTACCTTAAAATCTATCTGTCATGAAACTGATGTTTTCGCACCAGTTTATATAGTTTTTCTACCAGTCTTACTTTCCGTAGTCTTAGCTATTTACTTTCTCTTTTCTTTTCCAGCTTTCAAATTTCAGTTTTGGGACTATGCACAGATTCATACAAATATATTTGACAATTTCTTGTGAACATTTCTGTCGCACATTGAATTCCCATGACACAGATGTATTGTTAAAGCTATAACCAGCTGAAAATATTTGACTGAAAAAATACAAATAAACCTCATAAATACAGCACACAGACAAACTATGAAGCGTACACTGTCTCTGCATACGTTGACTAAAAGATGCAGATTGAAACTGATCTGGAGGAAAACTGTACACACTGGCGAAAATGAGCTCCAATGCCATTTGGTGGTTTCAGTCATGAAGGTAACTTTCACCCAATAAACATTATCACGAAAAAATAGTACGAGCCGATTAGAATATAAGACTCACTTATTATGAAGAGTAATTAATATCACAAAAAACATCTTTGTTTAAATATGTGAAAGACTCTAAACAAAAACTATTCTTTCCAATAAATTCTCATCAGATTCTATAATTATAAACTTCATTTGCACAGCGTAAAAACAATTCAAATTTGAGGCGAATATAATTGTAGAGGTGGATAAGAGTTTATTGTAAACCATATTATTGTTTCAGATTTCTTTGGCTAGTGTTACAGGAATCTTTAAATGTTTAAATACGAAGAGACCAAACTGAAGTGGTTGGAAACAAATTAGGTTGCACACTTGTTTCAATAGAAGTTCTGGTTATTCTCTTTCGCCTTAACCTGTAAATGGTATCATTCCTTCAGTAGAGTTTACTTAAATTTTAAAAACTTCGTCAAAAAGGACAAAATTCGTCTGAGAGTTAGGTTTACTGAATTGATTACAACCTTTCGTGTTTATTAACCTAAACTTCAGATTGTAGTAGTTATTTAACACATGTAACATCCTCATAGAATTTCAGAATATAACATGAATAGTAAAATGTCTTTCGTCGCATTTAAGGTTCCCTATCTGAATATGCTTAAATCTTACCACCGTGTTATTGAGAAGACAGTCTGGTAATTTCAGTATAGAATACGCTCAACAACGAAGTCTCATCAAATTGAATTTGAACATTCAGTATCACAATCAAAAACATTTTCACTTAGCGTTATCATAACTTCTACAAATACGGAAGTCCATAAAAGCATGTGTACCGAATAATTTAAAATTCACTATGGCGTAAAATAATCTCTAATTAACTATTCTGTGCCACAGTTAGCTTGAACAAGCATCATAACTTGTAGTTTGCTAGTTTTTTTGAACCTGAAGAGCACTTAAATCATTTTGATATGCAAATTAAATGATGTTTAGTATCCTTTTGATGACCAAAGAGTTGAAAGTATCACACTACAATTAAGTAAAATGATAGTTCATTCAGATAATAGTTCTACAATGAATATGGTGAGTAAAGAATAGTTACCTGGAGACATGGAACAAAACATTTTTCATTAGCGTCTAGGGCAAGAACTAAATTTAACAATAGATTCAAGTCACATAATGAGTGAAAAGTTGATTTTAAAAGATAGGTCGAGTATGCTTTATAATATATTAAGACTGACAGAATAATAATTATATGTTCTCATTATGTTGCAGTCTTATCACTACTGATTTTCCGAAAAAGGATTATGTGTGTATAACCAAACCTTCCACTGCATCATCTGTCTACAAAATTTTGAGAACAAACGTTTTTTAATGCCAAAGGAAATTTTGCATTGATATAGGTATGCAGATATCATTGCTTGAACAAAATTTAATAAAGCTGTGCTAACAGGTTAACAAATCCGAAGAAAATGAATACATTTCTTAATTACTTCAACAAACGTCTTGATAAATAATAGACTTACTTGACTTTATAATAAGATCTAAATTTCCTTTAGCCTTCTCATTGTTTGGACAAGATAATTCGTTTCCTACTAACTGATTCATCTTCACTTCTGGTGATTTCCGTTCCAGATCTCTGCGTCGTTGCTGTTTTATTTGCTTTTCTTCCCCTCTTCTTCCTTTGGCACTAGTAATATCCAGTCAGTCAGGCCTAGTTCACTGATCTCCTCACAGAATCGAACATTCTTCTCCAATAAATCCTGTATTCATGTAGTCGGTGTGAGATAAATTCATGTGTGTAAGTATATGTTTCACAGGGAATAGAGGAAAAAGAAGACGAATGGTACACCCGAAAAAAATCAAAATTCTTGTCAGTAAGCAAAATACAAACCAAAACGAAAGTTCACCTCTGGTAAAAATGTTTCTCAAATACCGTGCTACCTTCCATTGTTCGTAAACCTTTTATAAACGACTTTCTTGTACTTCAGTTAGACTTACAAAGTTGTGTTTTGCAATGTCTGGTTGGGGTATGATTTTTTGGAAGTGTGTTTGTACGAATTCGAATGTGGGTATGAAACGAACTATTCACAGTTAACCTTTTTTATCCTTGTATGCAAAGTGTAAATATATTCCTTATTTATTTCAGTATTTGAGGATATATCCTATTATTTGTTTGAAAATATTTCAAAATATATTTTGGAATATGTTTACAAAAAGAAAGACCTATTTTGTTCCCTACTGTGGGCTTTTACAAATCAAGTGAAAGTTATTATTGCTATTTCCTATGCATTTATGAGCCAATCATATTCAAGATATCTATTGTGCAATTGGATATGGATTATCTTAAGTAATTTTCGCACTATTATTATTATTACACCTAATACTGCTGCTGCTGATGCCTTTGCCTGTCCCATATTATGTCAGTTGTTTATTTCCACTGGGATAATGACCCTAGTACTGGGAATTTTCATGTTAAATGTATATTTATGTGTATGGGGTTGCATTCGTACACCTATATGTAGATTTGGAGGTGTGCACATATAACACTGAACAGCTTATTACTGGTCAGAAAAACACTTTGAACAATGTAATTATCCTCAAATATTAACAATACTTTTAAAAAACGACAGTAAGCATCTCCATGGAAATGAGTTCTGATGCCTAAACGCACAGGGTTTTGTTACTGAAAGTTTTAAATTCAGATACAAAAAGCCAAGGTTCACACCGAGCTTATTGGAAGTATGTTTGTACGATTATTCAGTTTCTTTTGCCGAAATTTGATCTAAGTTCATTTGACTTTTTCAGTAGACTGAAGTCAGCGCTTAGTTGCTAATACTCTCAGAAGCTCATTTTAGATTATACCCTTAATGTAAACTAGCTTTAGACTGATAATACTAGAAATTTTAAACTGTAGGGTATTACTGCACATCATTGACCCGTAAGGAATTTTTGTAGTAAATCACTCAGCCACGACACCCAATCGTTTACGACGCAGAAAGCTTCCGAAGTATCACAAAAGTTTCCCTAAAAAAAGTTTTATTGAGCGGAAAACAGAGTCTTCATGCTAAACTTTCTTAAGAGGGAAAAAGTTATCTCCTGTTTCTTCTCACATGGTGACAGTCATATTCCTTTATTTTCTTGAAAGTAATTTTTTTTATAATCATTTAGTGTCTTGCTATTTTTTTATATATTTATGCTCATTATTCAGTCCCTACTTTGTTGACTAAGAACACTGGATTTTTTACAAATAGAATCATTTGCAGACTGTAGAGGGTAATAAAAACATCTCCAAAAAGCTGTTTCATCTAGTTAGAATGTACTACTCAAACATCAGTTCCATCCGAAGAAAGCTTTTACCATGAGAAATATTTTGATAAACTTTCAATGCCCGATTTTGTTGATTAGTATGTGCTAAGTAACAATGTAAACAGTGATATGTTGAAGTTGTCATTTTTTTTGGTTTAATAGACAAAATGACCACTGTTTTCTGCTATGAGTGATAGATCATGAAGTGAAATCACTTATATAGGTTTACAAGTAAAACTGCAGATAGTGCACAAGCTTATGATTGCATGAATTGCTGTCGTCACTGCAACTAACTTATAATTATGTAAAAATCTAATAGTCTAAAGTGTTTCTTGTCACCAGTAATCATATGAACTTCAAATGGTTGTAGTGGCTACGATGCAGCTTCGTCACGAAAACTGGGAATCCACTCAAGTGTTTTGTGAAAGTTTAAAACGTCACCGTAACTCTCATTTACTAATATGCAACTAAACTAGTACAAATATCATAGTGTTTGAGAAATAGTGCATAAGTGTACATAGCTTACAATATTTTTATGCTTAAGTTAACCTTCCCGCACTGCTTAGATTTTTGCCATCTCATTTAGCAATCATGTGGTCTAACCTACAAGTGATATTCTACACTACAGTCCAAGCTGTAATGAAAAGAGATATCTACCAACACCATACGACATCCATACTACATTCCGCCTATTAGTGTGATAGATTATTGTGCCTTACCTACTTGTCTTAAGTTCCGAAAATTAAATCTTATGTCGCATCATAGGTGTGGAGTGACGAGTTCTAAAACTGAAAAACTTAGACCTCCTGTACAAATTAGTTGAAGACCGTCTAATTGCTGATTTGAGTGCTTGAAAAATCTGCACTCAGATCAACTATTTCTTGAAAACTCACTGAAATGAATTATTTGACATTTTAAGGGGTGGTAATTGAATTACGTATTGCCATGATCACTTAAAGAGGGTGAGAAAAACAGCTGTTTCAGCGGAATTTCATGAATCCTCTTCATCTGACTGCCACCTAAAAATACTTCGTGCACGTTCCGTTTAAATTTACCGGTGGAAAAAGTGGTACAAGACCCAGAAAAGAAATATATATATGTGAATGCTAAACGAGGACACCGAATGACAGTGACGATCTCTTGAATTTAAATATGTTGTATAGTGTCGATGGTTGACTATAAACTGAGTTGCTGAGCGATAACCTGTGAAATCTTTAGGCTTCGAGCCCAATCTCCTATAGGATCAGGGTTTCAGACTGTCCAGTTACCCCAAACTTGGATTTGACTAGTCATACATGGTATATAGTAATTCTTTACCTTATACTGACACCTGAAAAACGCTTAGTTGAAATTGTTTTGCTTTTTTAAGAAACGAAATTATTGCTAAATACTATACTTTACCGGAAAACTAGATAGTTTGGCGAAAACCGTTGTCTTTGGTAATGTCCTTATAGCTATCATGGTCAGTAGGATGTTGAAAATTTTATCCTAAACCTTCAACTTAGTCTTCAAAAATATGGGTTTCTGTTTGACTGTAGAAGAAAAAGATTATAAATAAAATGGATGTCTTCCGAAACCAAGATCCATTTTTACACTATTCAGGCGAACAAAATTCATCCATAACTTTGCGAGTGAAACAAAAGTAAGATTTATTTAAATACAAGCAGGATCTCTAGTTTTTCTCATGGAAAGCAGTTCAGTAATCTCCCACATTCACCTTTCATAATTTCTCACATTGCTGTAAATATTAAAATTCATATCTCTTGTGTGAGGGTAGCTACCACTCAAACGTCTCTCATTATTGGAAATCATATTTTTCACAAATACAGATGAAAACGTATAATCGCACTATTCTTAACGTCTGGATTGCACATTGCAATTTTTGTGTGATCACATAAATGCTAACCGATGGACACTATACGGTGTGAATTGTCATCTTCACTTAGATGTTTTTCTTTATTGTCTAACTAGAGAATTTGCTTCAAAATACGACTACCCGGTTCACTTATTAGTGGTAGTTTGACATATGCCATTTTCAGGGATGCACAATCATCACACTTTGGAATTTTTTCAATGTTTCACGCATTACTTTTCTGAAACTTTCAAATACCACTTCCATTTAACCTGAAAACAAACTTTCAAAGGGAATTATAACGCAATAATACTTGTGTTTCGTCAAATGTCGGAAAAAGTACTACGAAGAACTCAATATTAAAAAGTTTCAATCGTTATATGATATCAAGTTATAGAAGATATTTTATTCATCAAAATCTAGACGCGAAAAAGTTTCTGATATTTTAAAAACGTTTTCAGTGTGGTGAGCATGGTTAAAAATCAAGAAAAGTCCCATGAACAGCCTTTGTTTCTGTTAAATGTGAAACGCTTTAAACTTGAATGAATGACTGTGCAAAATACCTGTCAACCTCGAATGCCACTGAGTTATCAAAATGTACCTTAACATCTAATTAACGTATTATATTTGAATTTTTATTACTTTACAATGAGGTATTTGACTAACATACATTTACTGCCTTTCTATTATTCTAATTTTCATCGTGATAACGGCTTTCAGTGATAACTGAAATCTTTGCTGATGTTTCGTGTAGTGTCTGTGGTGGTACTACAGTAGATGACAATTTATTTAATAAGAGTACAGTATTACCAGAAAATTTTTATGCATTGTACAATCCACAAACTACCTCAAGCAAAGTTGTTGTAGTGCTCATCAGCATGTCTCGAAAACACTAGTTATATAAAATTAAAAGTTTGTTGCTGGCTGCAACCTGAAAATTCATTGTACAACCAGACCAACTAATTAAACAGCGAAGTGATGTTGACAGAATTTGTACTATCTTTGCAACACAGCGTATTGGTTGGCTTACTCAAGATGTGCTACAGAAGAATAGTTAGGTACCTGTCATATTCATTCTTAATAAGTGAAGCGGTTGATTGACAGTTTCTAAGATTAATTCAATAAGAAACGAAGTAACCCGATTTGACAGCTGATTAGAAATGACTGGTTTTTCGTTTTGTCAGAAATAACTTCTAGATAATGTTAAAAATCTCAAAAGTAATGACTGAGTTTAACCGTTGTTACGTAATGAAGTCACTGGTAAAGCGAAGAACACTACTTATACACAACCTTGTTAATGTGACAATGAGATATTACCATTTGGTTTCAAAGTTTGAGTTCAACTAGTCAGACTTAAGTACTTGCAAGAAGAAACAAAAAATATGTCTTCAGTGGTTTCTGACTAACTACAAATATGTCATTTTTGTACCTTTTGTGAGTTTTAACA